GGCGGCAAAGTACGCGTATTTGTTGCTGCGTCAGAGGCGTCTCCAACCGCGTGTTACAATGTAATATTTCTTGAGACCTGTTTACACTCGATATTAAATACATGTTCACATACCATACATACTCGTGTATGCAGTGCATCAAATATCAAACTCTTTTCAGCTTCATCTTGAAAGTATTTCTATTAATTTATACTTGTTATTTCTTTTAATTGTATTTAAAATCGTAACTAGCAGATTAAATTCAGAAATATTTGCAACGAACAAAAAAAAAAATATTGAATAGAGCTTTAAGGTAATGCCAGTCCGAGCTTCAAGTACTCTGTAAGTTTTCGGTATTATATACAAATCATAAATAACAAATTTGCTTTATGATTTCTCAATGAATAAAAACATCATATTAAAAGTGAATTTTTCACTTATTTTTTCCATGGCAGCTATAAGATATAGTGCGCAGACTTTTATGAAACTATAGAATATTCGCCTGCTCTATACAAAATTCGTAAATAACAAAATTTACTTAAGATATCTTGTGAAACAAACCAGTTATGCTAGTTAGGCAGCTATGAGAGGACCGCATTACAAAATAATGAGGCTATATATGGCTTGTAATATAATTTCTCTGGGTATGAATAAGACAATTCTATTGAAGTTTTTGCTAGTTATTCAGCTTTTTTAGATTCCAAATGGATTACCATTTTAATATTTTGAATGGGGAATGGCATAGGAATTCCACAATGTGAGTTTGTTCCTGAGTAGGCACTCGGTTCGAATTACGCCGCAAGCAGCATGACAGAAGCATGATTGAAATTTGAAAGTTAGCATAAAATTTAACAATTGTCCAACCCAGGACAGATCTTAAATAAACATTAAAGATTAAATAAGATTTTTTTTAATTAGATTACTGAGAGACCAAGTATGGTTACTGATTGTCATATTGTTTTGAAATATATACTATAACGAACAATATTCAGCAACAACAAGTTGAGTGGAGTTTACTTTTATTTGTTTATGAAGATACGAGTAGTTAGTGATAAATTGCTTTCCATTGCCCTGATATTTTCATCGCAACAATGCAACAGAGTTGTGAACTTCAGACTTGTCTGCAAACTAACTAAACTATCGTGATGTTGACAATTAGTGGGACAACAGTTGAGATGTGGCCAACAATTGATTGTGGAAACTTGTAGCCGTGGTAAGTCACAGCATTGGACGGTGAAAGAGACAGGGAGAGAGAGAGAGAGAGAGTCGATGATGCAATAAAGTGCCAGTTAGACAGAGAGAGGTATCCCTCTCTAACCAATGCAACCATCATCAGTCAACGATGCGACGAAGGGGACAAAGAAGAAGAAGAAGAGAATGGCGAAAAGAACCGCCGCTGACAACAACAAAGCAAAGACAACAGGAGATGAACAACAACCGTGCTGGCAGTACGCTGCGCCGATAATGACACCGATTCTCGTTCCGTCTGTTTCTTGCTATGCCATCCAACCAACCGTCTGCTATGTTCTGCTCTGCTCTGTTCTGTTCTCTTCTGTGTTGTTCTGTTCTGTTCCGAGTATTATGTCCAGAGGTCCCAACGTCCCAGCGTCGCAGCAGCGTCCTCATGTGAATGTGCAAGTTGAGAGGTTTATTTGGTTAAATGCTGAAAATTGCCAAAAGCAGCCAGCAACGGATTGGCAAGAGTGGGGGCCTCTTCGTCGTTGTCGTTTGGTCAAATGGAGTCGTGGCAGTTGCCGTTGTGGCGTGCGCTTTGATGCACTTTCTGGGTTGTTGCGAGTCTTGTGTGACTTGATGAGCTGCGGCTGATACTTAGTTGGGGTTTAATGGTGGGAAAAACTGCTGTGAGCTCAGCTCGTTGTACGCTGTTCACTGAGAGTATGTCAGGATGCTGGAGCTGCGAATTGGGCGTGATTGGAAGCTAGACTAGACCAGCATCAGCACCAGCACCGACGAAGTGTGGGAAAGCTAATGGGTTGTAGGTGGTGGATGGGGAAGGGGAAGTGGCAGTAGAGGTGGGAGGAGGAGCTGATCTGCTAATGCTAAAGGTAGCATGACAGCTAAGCAAGCGAAAGTTCAAGCCAGACCTGTGAATGAAATTACATGGTGGTTTGAAAAAAATTCGACAACACAATGGCTATATGGTACGATTTTACATTTAATTGATCATTCATATACGAGTATAGCGGTGTGTTTTCATCTTTAAATGAAATGAGTTGTACTTTTTTATCGACCCCGTTCGGAGGTGAAATGGTTCACAAGAATTTCAAGCTTGGACCAAAGATTTCAGGCATTGTAACAGAAATTAGTTCAACAGCATCAGATCTAATAATCTTTATCGTTTTTCTAATAGGTTGAGCGATTAGTTTGCCATTTTCCTCAACAGTTTTTCATAATAATTTGTATTATTTTTTTGAGAACACAATGGCTATATGGTACGATTTTACATCTAATTGATCATGCATTCTTATATAGTGTGTTTAATTTTTACATTAAATATGTTGTTTTTATCGACCCCGTTTGGAGGTGAAATTGTTGACAACACTTGATGCTGTTTTGATTTCGCAGTTCAACAGCAGCAATCTTAAGCTTATTAATCGTTTTTCGAATAGACCCAGACTTATAGTTGGTCGATTAGTGTCCTCCACAATTTTTTCACAATAATTTTTATATTTGATCAGATTTGTAATCTTTTCAACCCACATGCAAGAATTTAAAGTTTTTGATAAAGGCTTGTGAATCGAATGAAGGGAAGAGTGTCCCTATATCAACAATTTGTATAGATATAATTGAATTACAGAGCAGTTTGGTGTTTGTAAAATGTAGAAATTGTGCCTTGCGGTCCAATCATGAACAACTATAGCCCAACCTAGTGAAATACATTGGAAACCAATTCACAGAACAGACAAACAATGAATGGCAATGCAAGTGCTTGCTGGGACAATGAAGGGCCAATGATACAACGACTACATAGTAGATACAGAAGTTGGACGAACTAAGCCAACGAATGCCATACAATGGTCAATTGTTGGACAAAGCATTCAGGGGGGTACGTATGCTTAAAACAATCCAAGAAATAGAAACGAATTGATTAAACGAGTCAACCTGCAATAAAAGAGGAAAATATCAAAACACATATGCACAGAGACTGGGGAAAGGGCCCAGCGGCAGGGAAGGACAGTCATACCGCACAAGACAGACAGACAGACAGACAGACAGACAGACAGACAGACGAGCAGACAGTAACATAAGCCCAGGAATTGTCGACAATTGACCTCAGCTCCATACCCGTGTGCTCGTCCCATGCACTTTGCATTACCAATTACAAAACCCAAAGGTATACGTACGTATAGATACATAGAAACATGGTATCTATAGAAGGAAACAAGCGGACAAAAAAGTAAGAAGTACAACAAGTACCAACTATGGACAAAAAATGCAAAACGTCAATAGCACGACAATTGACGCCGCAATCAAGCCAAGTGTTAGAGTGAGGAGCTGTGCTGGAGGAGGGGCAGACGTGGTTGAGGGAGTGCAGCAGGAAGGGGGGGGGGGGGGGGGGGGGGTCGGCTCATTGTTATGCAATTGCGATGCAAGTCAATTAAAAACATACAACCCCCAAATGCAATGGCAGTGGATTACCAAAGCGCCACAGCGCTAAGCAGCGGACAGCTGTTACTTCATCTCCTTCTCCTGTTCTACACAGAGAAAAATGTCGCCGCATCTCAACAGTTAAAACCGGGAAAAATAATTTCGCTAATAACTTTTCTTTGGACTAGCCGATATGTAAAATATTTCATAACGAGTTAGAGTGGGAAACATCATTTATGTAGCTTTAGAAAGAAATAAGGGGAAAATAAAATAACTTGTATTGTCTGGGGTTTGGCAGAGCTTCCACGCCAAGTTGGATCTATGTGGGCTCGGAAGTTTCTGAAACCCAGGCGTTCATACAGACCGACGGGCATGACTAGTTAAAAAAATGATTATTAAAAATATATATACTTAATGGGGCTGGAGATGCATCTTCCTTAAATTTGTTGAATCTGCTTCGTTCCAACTATATGAAACTTCTCAACTTAATGGCTGGAACTACTAGGTATGGAGACACACATCTTTCTATCGATGAAGAATTGAATAGAAAAAGGACTATCGCAAAGATTCTTTAAATTTAATACACAAACTTTTGCATTCCATGAACTTTAACTAAAAAATATTTAAAATATGTATATTTTTCGAGTGCATTGCTTGCGACTGCGGGCATATCGTTGACCCCTTGGTATGGCATTGCCTGCGTCCGTGGCACCCTGGCCATAGCCATGTATGAGTGAGACATAATCCAATTAGCAATTAGTCGTGTAAGTGTGAGAGTGTGTGTGTTTGTGTTTTGTCGTCGGGTTACCTGAATCGTCTTTAGATGGTTCAATAGATAGGCTTGACTTGGGCCTTTTGTTAAATGCAGGCATTCCACTCAGTCGACCGACCACTCAGGTAGCTGGCCAATGCGTTACGCATGCCAATGGGCCCTGTTGACTTGAGCCTCGAGTCTTGGGCCTCGAATACCGTCTAATAACTCAATTCGGTTTGCCGAGGCATGCGCGCCAATGTGGGCACTTGTAAGGCGTTGCACGTTATGGCCAACTTCCTGTAAGCGCATCAGACAGTTTTGCCTGCACAATTGGCCGGACTTGGAATGTTTTGATGTCTGATGGCATGAAAATGTGCCATTCCCCAGATGCCAGGCAGTTGTACAAAAAAAAAACCTGACTTGTCCGTTACAGAGGACGGGATAATCGGAAAACCAAGCTCAGACAGATGCTAATCAAGAGCTGCTGATATGCCTCGTGAATTTCATAATTTTTACTTCTCTTCGTTTCTAATGGAGGGATAATGATAATGTCTAAGCAGCCTTTTAATTTTTGTACTGCATAGTCAGTCAATTCTGGGATTATTTTATGACAAGTCTGAGTATTTTCTATCAAAAACATTTACTTTTCTTAATTTCATTTTAAATAATCTCGCTTTATTTGCTGTACTTTTTTTTAGAGCAAAGTTATGTGCCTTTATGCGGTAAATTTTCAAAAAGTGTATTACTTTAAAATTGTTTGTGCAATTGAGGGCGTTTTTATTTTGGAAAATCTTGTTCGTGAGACCAACAAACCCAGTGGGTAAGTCGCCAACAATGAATGTAAATATTGTGCCCTCAGTTGGGCGCCAGAGCTTTCGATGAGGGGTCATAGCGCCACGTCTTCCAAGAAGCTCAACAGCACTAAGCTGGGTGTGGGGGAGGGGAGGAGGGTTTAAGTGCAAGTGCACATGTGGCTTATCATTTATTATAATTTTCGACACATTTCTTTTTACGAGCAACAACTGAATTTTAATTTAAAATTCATTCATCATACTTAACAACCAAAACACAACACGGACATAGGAAACGGAGCAGTGTGGGGGCAGTGCAGTGAAGAAAACAATCCTTCGTTTGTATTTCGAATGCACTTTTTTGATGTATCATTTGGTTTTGTGAACCCCACAGCCATTCTTTGTGGCTGGTATTCGACTTAGCTACTTTATTGTATGTGTATATGTTTTTGTTTTTTGTAATTTCGTTAGCATTATGCGGGTATTCATTTCAAGCCAGCATCATCCAGCAGCAAAAACCAGAACCAAAGTTTTATGTCGACCATTACAGCGACACTGTAGATTGCATTGTAGATGAGGATAGAGTCTCGAGTCGGCGTAAAAAGTAGCTTAATGGCATTTGGGGCCGTCGCAGAGTCGTGCCGCCGGGCTACACGATGCACCACATATACATACATACATAAGTACACTTGAAACTGACAATCATTGGCATATTTTTCACACTAATTCAATTCTTTTTGTTTTTCTCATTGCTCGTTGCTCATTGTCTGCGTTTCACATTTTTGCGCACTGTTTTTGGAATGTCGAGCAAGCGGCAAACATAATAATTATAATCTGTACGATAATTTTCTTGCACTTGAGCTTGAAAACAAATGAAGTAGCAAAGTGGGAGCAGCGAACGTTGAAACATGCTCTTGAGATTGAGTTTGCGTGCCAGGGTTGTGATTGTTCAAGCAGAAGATCTGTGCCCCACATTGGGCGCTGAAAAAACTGTGATCTATTGTACAAAATGATGTGCTTCGGAATCAAATTATTTTGGGGGCTATTATTTATTATTTATGCGTCCTACATTAGGCGCTGCCTCATATAGCCTGAATAAACTGTGATCTATTGTACAAAATGATGTGCTTCGAATCAAATTTTTGGGGAAAAATTATGTAGGCTACAATTATTTATGCGCCCTACATTAGGCGCTGGCTCATATAGTATAAGTCGACTGCAATTTACTGTGCAAAAATCAAGTCATGCATTATTTTCCGCGCCCTATATGGGGCGTTGGGTCATAACTCATGGTTTTGTGCAAAATATTGTATGTAATCTCATTTGGATAGATGCAGAATTTATCCAGTAATTTAGGAATATATTTTGGCAGTGCTGTCCATTTGTCTTTTCCATGACATCGGCAGCAGCCGCAGCTCATTTGCAGCTAATTTATGTAGTAGACAGATAGCTGCATGGCCGTCAGCCCAGCCCCTGCCATCTTTCCCAGTTAATCTCAATGGCTGTGGCGCGCATGCAACAATGGTTGCTAATTATGCGCAAGTTTTTGGATCAACTTCAACTAATTGTCTGTCAGGGCGAACGCAACGCCCTGGCCCACAGAGAAGACCAAGCCAAACCAAACCAGACACCACACTAGACCCAAACTCGAGCCCGACCCGACACAGCGGAGTCCAGAGCCTCGCCAATTGTCTGCCAAAAATGCGTGGCGGGTGACTGAGGAACTAGGGACTAGTGGGGGGGCTGTTAAGGGCGGGAGGAAGACAAAGCCAAGTCAAGTGCTGCCACAAAATTATGCTAATATATATGCATGGCGGCTGCTCTGTGGCTTTCTCTGTGTGTGTGTGTGTGTGTGTGTGTGTGTGTGTGTGTGTGTGTGTGTGCATATACATACATAATCCTTTATGTACTTACAGAAATACATATGCACACTGGATCTGTCCGCACTGGCTGGCTCGCTGGCTCGTCGACTATATTATCAACATCATTATCGTCATTATCAACGGCAGCTCGAGTCGAGTCGAGTCGTGAGTTAATCATGAGAAGAAGAACAAAAAAAAAAAAAAAAAAAAAAACAACACTTTTGCAGCAAATGCAATAATTTCAACTAAAGTCCCAACTATTTGATGGGCCGAGAGTTCGGCGGGGGAGTGGTTAGCGCCGTTGGCCAGATAGGCAGATGGGCGTGAGAACTTTGTTCAGATTCTGTTCTGTTCTGTTGTTATTGCTGGTTGATACGCTTGAAGCTTAAAATGCGACTACGCAAAGCTCCACCGTCCATGCATGCCATCATATACATGTTACATATATATATATAAGTATATACTATAGTATATACTATATGAGCGTTATATTAAATCCTTCTGGTAAATACAGCTGTGCAACGTTTACGCGCACGCCTTCGCGACCACGCCTACGGCCCAAAGTCCACTTACAACTGGCACGTCACACTTTAAGCCTTTTGTTTTTGCAGTGGGGTAGGGGGGTGGAGGAGGGGTGGGGGGTGTGGTGCTATAGCGTTAGCGGCTTTCGCTTCGATGTCAGCATCAGCATCAGCTTTGGCGCCGGCGCATAATCCGCGCGTTTTTTGCCAGCAAATGTTTTGCTTTTTAATTAAAGAAAATACATTTTAAAGCGGGCGGCTACAAATGGCTACAAATGCTGCCTGATAATAATAGCAACAACAACAACGGCAGCAGCAGCAGTACAAGTAGCAGCAGCAGCAGCAAAAACAAAAACAATAATAATAATGTGCAACAAAAGACAATTGTGCTACACAGAAAGGCAGAGAGGGAGATAGAAGGCCTCCACTGGACTACAAAATGCCCTTTTGGAGTGCTTACTGGATTAAAATTAAAACGAGAAACGAATAGGGAGATAAAGAGGGAGAGAGCTGGAGGTAGGGAGTGAGGGATAGCAGGCATCAGAGTAGAGGAGGCGTGGAGGCGCGGCGAGGGCAGCATAAAAGACAAGCAACAATTCTTTTCTATGCACGGCAAGAGACTTGCAACATAATTGGAATTTCCTTTTTCCTGTCTGTCTTGTTGTTGCGTTTCTTCTCTGCCAGTTACTTCAAGTGGTTACAGCAAAAAAAAAAAAAAAAAAACAATAATAAAGAAGAGTAAAAGAGGGCACCACATTGGGCTTGTACTTGGCTTGACCATAAGCTAAAGCCGACCTGTCCATATATACACATATATATATATATATAGATATACATACATACATACACGTATCTACAACGCACAACAAAAGCAACAAGGTCTGAGCGCCTAGGGTCGCTGACTTTCAACTTCAAAGTTGTTGAGGGACTGATGCAATGCATCAAAATCATCTCATCTTACTCGAAGTTCAGCATCGTTTAGAATTACTTAACTGGTCTTTACTTTTCATGGTTAATTATGATTATGCGTGAGAGAACGATGACAATTATAAAAATTCCACAAACTTCGATAATAAGTAATTCTGTAGCGCTGCGCATTTCATCTTTACTCAACTTCTCTTCGAAGAAGATGGCTAGTTAGAAGAAGAGCGTTAAGTATTTTAACGACAAAACGAATTTAGGACTTCAATTCTAGCTAATGCTGCAGTGCTTTGTATTTTAACAAATTAAAATGAAGACTTTGCTTCTAACTAAACTTTTAGTGCACTTTTAGTGAGAGTAATACAACATTTTTGGATTTTTCAATCAAGATTCTTCAATAAGAATTTCAACGACAAAACGAATACAAGGCTTACATTTTAATTCAATTTGCGGCAAATTAAACTTAAGACTTCGTTTCTACATAACTTTTATTGTAAAGTGGTTAAGAGAGTAATACAGTCTTTTTGGATTCTTCAATCAAATTAAATGCTTCATTAGTTGGTGGCTAATTAGAATAAGAGCTTTAAGTATTTCAACACACTTTTTAAATAAATTCGCAGCAAATTAAACTTAAGACTTCGTTTCAAACTAAACTTTTATTGTAAAGTGGTTGAGAGAGCAATACAATCTTTTTGGATTCTTCAATCAAGATTCTTCAATAAGAATTTCAACGACAAAACGAATACAAGACTTAAAATTTAATTCAATTCGCAGCAAATTAAACTTAAGACTTCGTTTCTGACTAAAATTTTATTGTAAAGTGGTTGAGAGAGTAATACAATCTTTTTGGATTCATCAATCAAATTAAATTCTTCATTAGTTGCGACGCTTTTAAGCTTGTCTTAGCTCTTCACATCTAAATAGATTACAAGAAAGTTGACAACTACAAGTATTTCATAGACATCGGCACAGTGCTGTGTTAGGTTCCATTTTCGGGCAGTCAATTGGCCTATATAGGTGGCTTAGCCGTTAGCACAAAATTTAAAATTGCCGTCATGGGACCCTACATATGGAAGTAGACAATCCAGTTTATTGTCTACCTTTCTTTCTCTTCAAATCAGAGAAAAGTCTAAGCAATTAGACCAGTTTTGAGCCGGCCTAATTAGAAATGGTCGGACAAAGTTTCACATTACATTTGCGCTTATGCTGGGAGCCAAACCAAAAAAGCCAAAAAGAAAAAAAAAAATGAAAATAAATATAAAAAATATATGGAACAAGCCCACTTAGTGCCAACAAAAAGTTTACCGCTGCTTTGCTTTTTAGAAGTTATGGCTGCTTGACTGTCTCCGGCACGTTTTGAAACATAAATTGGACTACGATGATATGCAGCTTTCGTCAGACGACGCACTCACTGAATAGTTGGCTGGCTAACCCGACCCAATCCGCTCACTGACGACAATTAATTTCTGGTGCTTCGCACAAACTTTCGACTGTGTTAAGCAACTGGCTAAAAAGCGCTAAAAAGGCAGGCCACTGGCCCAACAGGAGAGAGGGGGCTAAGGGCATAAAGTTGCGTTAATTAATTCCACTTTTTTTTTTGTTTTCTGTGTTAGAACGAAATGTTGCAAGGCGGCCAAAAAAACATGCTTCGGCAAATTAAGCGGATGTGGTAATTGTTTGCTGTTTTTTTTTATTTTTATTTTTATTTATTTTTTGGTTAGCCGTGTGAGCGGCTTGGGAGTTTTGTGGCCTAAAAGTGCGTGGGGCCAGCCGTCTAGACTGTTGTTGTTGTTGTTGTTGGTTAAACCCCAAACATTCATATGTACATAGCAAAGTATATCAATCATCGCATCTCTTACACAGCCAGCAAGCATGGGGAATGTGCTCGCCAGCCAACCCTACAGCCAGGAGGACAGGGACAAGCTTTTTCGTCTGTTCGGCATACGCATGGCCAACGAGGGCGATGACAACACCTTACCAACTGGTCGAGGTACTCAAAAGTACTCAAAAGCTTCGGATCGTCGTATGGAAATCAAATTGGATCGCTTGAACGAGCAGGCGCGCATTGAGGAATATCCCGAAGGCAAAAAATCAATTGAGCCACAATTGCAATTGTCGGTGCCATATCCCACAGCCATACCGGCCACCAGTAACAACAACAATAACAACAACAGTAGCGGTAGTAGCAGTATCAGTAGCAGTAACAGTGGCAGTAACACAATTACTGCCATCAACATGGGGGATCAAGCGATGCAGCAGAATGAGCCCGACCCTGAGCGACAAAATCCTGGCTGTGTTGGCGATATCCATCGCAAATGTCGGGATGTACAGCCGACGCCCTTTGAGGGTCTCAAGTTTATTGTAAACAAGACAGTTAACAATAATTTCTTCATTGGGCACACCCTACAGTTGGGCAAACCACAGAACTCTAAGTACTTTTTCAATGCCACCTATGCGGGTAAAGGGGCCGCGGCCTTCACCAAGGAATCATACCCCATGCTGACGGGTGAGATGGATACGGCTGGTAATTTGACGGCCACATTACTGAATTACCTGACGCCACGTCTGCGCACGAAATTGCGCGCCGCCATAATCGAATCCAAACTGGTGGATGCCAATTTCAGTGTGGATTATATGGGGGATGACTTCACCTGCTCCTGTGTGGTGAGCAACATTGATTTCAAGAGACGCACGGGACTTGCTGTGGCCTCCTATTTGCAGGAGATTGTCCCCAAGTTGGCGATAGGTCTGGAGCTGGTTTATCAAAGCGAAGATTGTGTGCCCGGCGGCGAGGTGGCTGCTATCTCTGGCCTAGCGCGCTACGAAAATGGCAGCAGACTATGGTCCGGCATGATAAATGTAAACTCTTTGGAGATGTGCTATACACAGAGCTATGGGGAGAGCCTTAAGGCCAGCGTACATATGCATGCCAACATATTGAAGCGGCAGGCAATCACACGTTTGTGCTATCAATGCGACATACCCAAGGGGCATTTCACGTTTCGCGGCTCCGTAGACACGCGCGGAGTCATCAGCGGGGTGTGCGAGAAGCGTTTGGTACCAATGCCCATGCTCCTGGTGCTTAGTGGAAAATTAAATCACTTATCCAGTCATTTTCGTTTTGGAGTCGGTGTGGTGCTGGATTAGTTGTGAACAGATTTCTAAATCATAACCCCAGTCATACAACCGATGTAAATCCTTGTCTTTATCTTTACGTCTCTGGAATTATCTAACTTGTTGTGAACTGGTAAAAAGTACATATATGTTTGTAATTGTTATATGAGGTATGTGATAAGCCTTTAAAGCTTTAAAAAGCCTTGTCAGGGCTCTAAAATGTATATTATATTTGTTTTCCAGAGTGCCTCAATGAACTTGAAATTAGCCGCGAAGCCGTATATTGCACACAAAGTATTTCGAACTCAAATGGGGGATTTTTGGCTACAGAGTGACAATTATGTGAGCATGTGAAAAAAACCTTTGCTCTAATAATCAAAATTACTAATAAAAATTATTGTGCCCTTCATTTGGCGCCCAAACTTTTAATGTTACAGTAATATATGTGTGTAAATTGAAAAGAAAAATCTAGATGTGTCTCTGTTCTATTGAATAAAATTACTACCAGATATAAATAAAAATTGATTGGGTCCTTCGCTTTAACTTATAGTATAATGTTACAGTTACAAAGAAAAATCTAGATGCATCTCTGCCCTGTTAAATAAGATTACTACCAGATAAGAATATGAATTTGTTGGGCCCTTCATTGGGCGCCATAAGTCAAGCCATCTTAATTGGACTGCTCTGTGATGTGATAGGGCCATTACACTTGAAAGTATTTGCGCATTTTGTGATGCCACAAAAGGCATAAATAAATGACTTTGGGAAAAATACTAATGACATTTTTCTCTGTACTCATTATATATCTGTTTGGCGTTTAATCGCAAGGTTGTTTGTAATCACAGAATTAATGCACATGAATTTATAATATTAGCATAGTTCTATGCCTGATAGTGGGCCATATTTTGGCTGCGAGCACAAATATTGACACTACCATTTTAGGAGCAGTTCGACTGATAAGCCTGTAGTTCCATCTCACAGCTTGTTGCTGGGCCTCGGCAATTATTTGTTTTGGGCTTGCGATATACATTTTCATGGTCAGGTAGTTGTTCCTATGACAGTTGTGGGATTTAGTTTTCACAATTACTTGACGAAATCGTTTTATCACCTGCTTATAGAAGAGGTTGCTTGGTTGGTTGGTTGGTTGGCTGGCTGGTTCAATGTGCCGCATTCATGTAAATTAAAGTATAACAAGCATATCACTGTATCAGTCATAAAATGAATGCGCACAATAAAGACTGTGCTTTTTTTTTTTTTTTTTTTGTTTTTCCTTGTTTCTCGCTTAATGTATATACAAGTAGACCCCGTCGAAAGACATTAAGATGAACGATCCGCTAGACCCAATAATGTGCTAGAGCTAGAAATTGAGCTGTGTTGCTCCACATTTCACGATCGAACATAAATTTCTAATTTTAAGGCAATTTATGCTTAAATGCGCACAAAATGCCAAATCCGTTCCCCCTGCCGCGACTCGCTTTGCCAAAATAACTTCATTCGCAGTGCTCTGGTGGGGTCCGGTCTGGTGCGGTCCCGTCCAGTACCGCCCCATCCCGTCCCACTGGGGTCTAATTATAAACGCACAAATGCGAAATTGCAATGCAAGAAGCCACTCACCTATAGTCAGACAGCTGCAGAGTATGATGTAGAGAGTGGCAAGTCGCGCTGCTCTCTGCTGTTGTTGTTGGCCCATTTTTGCGTCTGTTTTGTTATTGTTGTCGTTGCTTCGAGTTTTCGCTTAACACACTTCGGCACTGCGTCACTTCCACGTCTTTCAAGCAGTTGCTATCTATATATGTAGTATGTGTTTTAATTTGTGTTGTTTTTTCTTTATTATTTAGCGCACAATTCCTCCTTTTTTTCTTTGTGTTTTGTTTTGTTTAGTTGCACCATAAACGGAAAAAAAATTGAAAAAAATTAACTTCTCTAATGCGATTTTAATTTAACAATTTTCGCACGATTTTGACACACTTGAAGCAATGAGCTTTACGGCTCAACACTTGTTTTATTTGCTCCGCAAAGTTGTTGGGTGTTCTCGAGTGAAGTTAAAGTTTCGCTTTTCCCCTGCTTCTTCTTCTTCTTCTTTTCACGGTACTGAGTGCTCTCAGGGCTCAGTTACGACTGGGAGCTGTAAAGAGAGAGTGAAAAGAAAAATCAAAGTAATTAGTTTGGTATGTTTTTTTCAAATTGCTTCTTATATTTAATTTGGCACAGAAACTAAAGTCACTCGAAAGTGATTTACAAAACGAAAAAACAAAAAAAAAAAACAAACAAAAATGCTCCTCAGGAGTGAAGAATACTTGTATTCCTTTCCTTATTCGAGGTCCTTAACCAATTGGCAAGTAACAAGTAATAAAAGGAAGTGATGTTTAAAGGTTATTAGAAAACGACAGACATATAAGAAAACAAGTCATGAAATATGTATTTGGTACAATTGATACAATTCTCTTCTTTTTTCATTAAGAGCTAGTAGCCCTCGAAGCGATTTGTGCAACATTTTAAAAAGTACAATACTTTTTTTAACTGCATGGAGGCTCAATACTATATTCTTTTGAAAAAAGAATTTGCTTTGTTCCCATCTTTGTTTTGCTCGCTTGCAACAAAATCAAATTGCTGTGAACAGATATAATATAATCTTTTCTTGCTGAATTACCATTCCTATATAATATATATTTGATATATATATTATATATATTTGATTTATTTTTGACCTTCTCAGGATATTTTCTCAACATATTATTTCAACAGTAAACATTTTCGGAGGTCGAAAGGAAATCGTCTGACTTTAAAAAGTAAGTTAAGGTTTCAAACTTAATGGTGCTGCAGACAAAAGACGGTACGATAATAGTTTTCTTTTGCCACAAAACACTTCGCAGGCGCTGTACGTGTATGTATTCAAGTATCTAGTAGCTGATTGCCCCCAACGAGTTCAAACTGCCACCAACTTCTTCTGGGCCAACTTTGACTCTCAGGCAACATCAGAAATGCCAAATGTTGGCCTTTACTCTGCGCCATAAGCAATAGGAAACAGCAGCGGCAAAAAACAATCTAGCGTCGCTGCCGTCACACAAATACGTCACACACGACTGATTTCGGTGGCGAGAGTGCGATTATCTGAGAGAGTACGACTGTGTGTGTGTGTGTGTGTGCGAGTGTGGAGTGTGACAAAACTACGTGTGTGTATGTACATATGCATGTGTGTATGAGGGGCACAAGTGCGAGCAAATGTACATATGTGTGCGTGTGTTTGTGTGTGTGAGTAACATTTGCGCGCTTTGTCTTTGCATTTTTAAGTTGGCAGCACAAAATACAAAAATCGAGTAGAACGCTTAAGTCGCGCGACGCCGACTCTTGCATGCCCTACTACGCCTCAGATCTGCTTCAACTAAAAGTAATCTTTGCTGCGACCATATGACAGCTATATGCTTATATCTTTATATTTTATGAAAATTTTCTCAATGTCTAGGTTTCGCAAATTAAATATCTTTCATGGATTTTCTGGACATCCGCTTAAAATGTTAGCTGAAAAGCTTCTTCTTTTTTTTTCAACAATTGACTGAAACTTTTCTTAAACACTAGAATTTATTATTGACAAATTTAAAATGCGTTAATTTCGCTAGTTTTTCGCTGTTTTTTAATTTAATTTTATATTGAAGTGTCTTCTTATTTCTGCAGCTTATTTTGTCAAAACTGAAAAGTTTCTCGAGAAATTTACTCATGTTCAATGTGAGAAACAAATGGAAACAATAACATGCACAATCGAAGTGTTTAGGTCTTATAAACATTTGTTAAATATACATATGTAAATGGAAATATGTTGGACAGAACCTACCCTCACAATTGATGCATCAGGGTCTGAAAGGGATATACGGAACCGATTTTGATTTAAAGAGCTTAAAGACTTGCATTTTTGCACCGATTTAAATTGAACTCTAGATTAATGAATGCTAGGATATTTTGAAAAACAGCAGGTTTTGTAAGAAAATTGCGCTTTCTTGTTTTTTCTGTGGCTGTTATGGTGCAAAAGCTATCGTTTATCGATCAGTCTTATCATGTTGATCATAAAAAATGTATCCATAATGCGTTTAGACTTTCCAGTAGAGTGTATGAGCAAAGCGAGCAGTTGCTACCGCGGCTAACAACATACGCACACCACTTGTTCTCAGGCCAGTTTTGTAACGGAAATTGTTGACTGTCTGAAGTCGAAACACGTCGTGCAGACAAAGAGAGAGAGAGAGAGAGAGAGAGAGAGGGAAAGACAGAGCGGGAGAGACTCGCGCGGCAAAAGTAACAGATAAATAATAAGACACACGGGACCAAGTGCTTGTCCGCATACTTAAATAGCAAACGTCTGTTTGTACATACCATACACACATATTACTATATATGTACATATAAGTATGTATGTATGCAGTATGTATATTTATTGGTGGAGAGGAGTTTTCCTTTATTTGCCTGATTTTCAAATATTTTGTTCTTGCTGTTGATTCTTATCGTGCGGCAAAGAAGCAGTTGGGTGGCCCGGCCTCTCTCTTATCACCTTCGATTTGAAATACCGCAGTCACGTTTTGTCACACACACACAGAAGTGTGTGTGAGTGTGTGTGTGTGTGTGAGAGAGAGTGCTGGGAGAGTGCGCTTGATTAGCCAATTGTTTGTTTATTTACGGGCATTTTTTTTTTACATTGTACTTGTAAAAACTGACTTTGCGATAAGCACCCACGCTGCCAGCTGTGTGGCTGGCTGACTCACATGGCCTAAAAATGTTGTTAACCCACACATAGGAACAAATGTGTATATGTATTTATATTCATGAATGCCCAAATGTCCTGAGAGTGCAACAGGTTTGTGCATTAATTCAATGCTCTCTCCTTCCACACTCCACACTCCAACTCCCACTCCCACTCCAATTTGCATTTGCATTTACCCTCTTAAGCTTCTTACGGTGCAAGCATAAGCACCAGCACCAGCGCCAGTGCCAGTGCCAGCACAAGCATGCATGCACAAATGCTAAATCGATATTCAGTGCAGGCCTTGACATATTCGTGTAGCACGCTTCAATTTTCAGCACCTGAATTTATAATGCCGCGCTGCCAATCGAGGGCAGAGTCAACAATTGCAATACTCGTACGCTGCCTGCCGAGTGGGCGGACATTACTTGGAAGGCACTTAGAGAGGCATTCAAGGAAAAATACGTGCAATTAGCTTAAAGACATTGATTGGTCGCTTGAGCCGGTTGCACAAAATATCGCCTAGCAGGAAGTCCATCTAAATTCAAACAGAGCATTAATCATGCGAGCGGAAGCTCTCATACCATCACCATTTGTCCAAAATTACACAAAATTATGTAATTTGTACTACTAAGTACTACTACTATCTGGTTGCTACGTGTTTGTTGGAATATTTATACCACCTGAGCCCTAAGCCCCTGCCACGATTATAAT